CTGAACCCACATTAGGATTGTAAACCCTATTGGACACTTCCAGACGGTCCCCCCACCAAATGCCTCCATATACTTAGGGCAGACAGGGGCCAGTGGTGTAAAATCCTCGTGGTGAGGATCTCTGTGCAAGATGGAGCCACGGGTAAGGTTCCGAGCCGAGGAGGGATAGGATCTGAGTCAGGTGTTAGCCCAGCCCCTTTTGAACAGACTGAGGTTGGGGGAGGGAGCAGCAGCAGGGCAAGGAGGCCTGTGCGAGGCTGCTGTGACAGTCCAGCAGGCAACGGCAGTGGACAGGACCTGCTTAATAACCCCCAATAGTCCGCAAACTCCCCACTCTCAGACAGAGGACAGATATGCTTCCAACTCCATCGCACATCCCGGTGCTGCGAGATGACCTGACCTCACCTCTACATCCCCAGTCCCGTTCCCCTACTTGCCCACACCCACACCCTACCCCCACGCCCCAGGGTGGCTCACTTTCTGGTCCCGGAGGCGCTCCCCGTGGATGACGTAGTGCCCCTGGCGGGCCCCCCCCTCGGGCCTGGCCCCTCGGACCCGACATACGCTCACCTGGCTGAGGCCCCCGCCCCCCACAGGCAGCCAGCCCCCACTGGAGTCATCTCGGGCCATCACCACGGCTCGGACCCGAACCATGTACCTGGAGGAGGTGGGGGGACAGGGACAACAGGGTCAGTGAGCGTCAAATCCTGCTCTCCTATTCAGCGTTCCCCCAACCCTCATCTCTGCTCTTCATCCCTCACAGCTGGATCTACTGCAGCTGGATCTTAGTCACCCCTACTCACCTTACCTTCCACACCCACCTCCTCCCCTAGGCCCACTGTCTCCCCACACCCGTCACCTCTCTTATGCCCACCTTCTTCCAGCATGGCTTCTTTCTTCCTCTTGCCATCTCTTTTCTCCCATGCCTACCTTCTTTCTCCATACCCACCTTTCCTCCCTTCCCCCATCTTTCCCATCCTCACCCCCATAGCTTTGCTCTTCCACTTCCCTTCCTCCTCCTGCTCATCCCCTATCGACCCTGTCTCCTTCTCCTCCCTCAGCACGTACCCACGGCCCCACCCATCGTCCCCCTCACAGCTGGGTGCCTGCGCATATGTATTTTCTTAGAGCCCATCAACTCAGCTCCAGTGCCCCCTACACTGCCTCCGCACCCTGCCGCCCAGGCCACTGGCTGGGTGAGAAACCCAGGCTCTCTTCCCCCCCACCCCTTCCCGGATTTATGAATGAGGCCGGATGCAAAGCTCACTGAGTCACCCAGCAACGGGAGATGGGCAGGGAGCAGGGAGAGAACCAGAAATGGCCAGAGACAGGCCGAAAGGGAGATGGAGGCAGAGGAAGCCAGAAACGGGCGACCGAGACACATCCAGAGAGCATTTCATTCACAAAAATCAAGCCTGCTCTCTCAGGCCCCTGCCGAGGAAAGGCAAGGGGCAGAGATTGCGGGGGGGTGGGGGGCGGGGGGAATTGATCCCTCCTCCTCTCCCTCCCCGCCCCAGCATCTTTCAGAACCATCTTACCCCGCCCCCCAGCTCAAGGGACGTAGCCCTCCGCCCAGTAATCGGGATCAGCGTCCAACCCCTCACTACCGCCGAGCGCAGGGACCTTGGCGCCCCAGCCTTATGGGACCCCAGCAACGAGGTCTAGCCCCTTCCCCCACCTGCAGGCTGCCGGGTTTCCCCAGCCCTTGGGGAGGGGAAGGGGCGGCTGCAGCGCCCCCAGCCCCCTTTTCTCAATGGGATGGGATTTTGTGAATGAGCAGTCACGTGACGCTGCTTCCTTTGTCCGCCCGCCTCCCCCGACAACAGGTGAAGCAGAGAAAGAGGGCAGGGGTCCCCCCGGCACCAGGGCCTACTGGGATGGGACGCTGGGCTTTCTGGATGCCCTACGCTTCCCACACATCTGTTTCCCGGGGGGAGTGGTCCCCTGAGTTCCCCAACGGTGAGGGTCCAGTACGGAATTTTATGAATGGGGCGTCCTCCGAGAAAGTCCAGGCCCCCCAAATGGACACTGGTACCCCAAATGGCTGCCGCGCAGTTTGGGGGCCCCCACCCCCTTGTCCTCCCAGCCAGGGTCTGGGGGGGCGCCCCGGTGGGCAGGAGGCGCAGCGCGGTGCTGTCTGCCCCCTCACCGTGACAGGCGGTCTGTCAGCCCCCGCCCCCTCGCCCCCCTCTGCACCTGCCTGGGAGGCTCCGGCCGGGCTCCGAGCGGTGGCGACGTGGCCTCCTCCTCCTCCTCCTCCTCCTCCTCCCGTTCGCTCCGGCTCCCTCGCTGGCTCCGGCGGCGCTAGAGACGGGCACCGGGAGCCGGGGCGAGGGGGGAGGGAGGGGGAACCTGAAAGATGGGTGGGGGGGAGGGGGCGGCTTGGGGGAGGGGTAAGCGCGAGGCAGGCGCACTTGCCCGCTGGGTCCTAGAGCCCGGCACTGGCTCCAGCGAACAGCCCCCCAGCCCGCATTTTCTCAGGATCCAGAGAGGATCCCCTACTTTCCCACCCATCCGCGCCATTGGTCCCTGAGGATATGGGGAAGGGGTCCGGGACGGAGCCTGGTCTCAAGGTTCTAAAGAGGCGAGGGTCTACGTTTTGGGTTCTAAATGGGAGGGGCTGGGTGCCTGGCTAGGTTCGAAAAGGGGTGGGGCTAGAAGGGAGCATTTGCAAGGAGGCGGGGTCGGAGGACCTGGGGGAAGGAGAGGGGGAAGGAGAGGGTGAGGACGCCGAAGGCGCGGACAAGCGCGTGCGTCAAGAAAGGGGCGGGTTCACGGAGGAAGGGCCTTCTGGGCGGGCCCGAGCAAGGAGAGGGTCCAGGGAAGAGAGGTCGCCAAGTCCTAAGAGGGCGGAGCTTATAAGTAAATTGTCTTTAGGGGCTGGACGACGGAGAGCTCCAAAAGGGAGGAGCTACGTAGCAGTGTTTGTAATGGGCGGGGCTTCGGGAGAGAGACTAACGGAGAGGGGCGGGGCATTATAAAGGGGAGGGTCTTAAAACGTTCTGTAGAGGTGGGGCCTAGGACTACAAGGCTTGGGGGCGGGGAAGAAGACTCCCGAGTATTTCAAAGGGAGAACCGGGTTCATAAGGGGCCGTGCCCAAGCTGGCTCAAGGAGGGCGGGGCCTCGAGCCCGGGGGCGGGGCCTAGATCTCGGGGTCCGCCCTCGCAGTCTCGCCCACTTGCCTTCACCCGCACCCCCGTTCTTTTCGGTTATTTTCTGCTACGGCCGTTCCCCGCCCTGCCCTGGGCCCAGGGGGCCGCGGTCTGAACTTTGGTCAGCTGGAGGAGTAGGTGAGTGGGATCCTCTGAGCGAAGGAGTAGCCAGGACGGAGCTTGGGTAAAGGGGTGGGGCCTGAGTGTGAGGCCTGCAGCCAGACCAGGAGCGGGAAAAGAAATTTAGGACTAAAGCCTGGGAAGAGGGCAGGACCAAATGATCAACACACAGAGAGAGATCTGAGGGTTAGAGTTGGTGACTGAGCGGTTAGCCTGACAAGAATACCGGGAATTTGTTAAGCGGAGGCGGGGCCAGACCTGGGGCGGGGGGTGTTGAGAAGGCCAGATTCCCTGACAATCGGGGCGGGACCAGAGGGCGAGGGCGGGGGCGGGGCCTGGGCCTCTGGAGCCTAGTTAGAGTCCACGGAGAAAAGCTTGAACTCTTTGTAGGCCTTATAGGCTACAGAGCACAACCATCATGAGTGATGTGGCCTGAGTGACTGACAGGAAAGCGGGAAAGACCTGTGTCTTGGAGCTTAGAGATCTCAGACGTGGTCAAAGTGTAGGGATGTGATATGAGGGACCAGCCAGGGAGACAGGGACCCAACCTTAGTACACTAGGAGGACGGAGGACTAAGTATCTGAACAGCAACTGTATGGGGCCACGGGGAGGAAGATGTGAACATCAAGAATCACGGAACAGGAATGCGGGGAGAGACTAGTGCCTGAGTGGATCTTGGAGGACAAGGGCGGGGCTGGCGCTGACGGATAGGACCAAGTACAGCCAGCCTCGTGGGGTCCCCACAGCCCTGGCAGATTGACTGGCAGAAGTTTTTCTGACCACAGTCCCCGACCTCCGTCAGAAATGGGGAACGTGCAGTCGGAGTCGTCCGCGGGCGGGGGCTCCCGAAAAGAGCAGGCCTTGGACCGGTCCTCCGACTCCCGCCGGACATCACTGTTGGAGCCCAAGGGGACCCCCTCCTCCCCGGCCATGCGCCTGGCTCGCGGGCTGGGCGTCTGGTTCCCTGGCAGCTCCGCGTCCCCGGGACTCCTGGTACCCCCAGAGCCCCAGGCCTCACCCTCACCCTTGCCCCTGACCTTAGAACTGCCCTCGCCAGTGACGCCCCCTTCAGAGGAGGCGACTGCGGCCGCGGTCTCCACACCACCCCCGACCCCCGTGGGGACCCTGCTGCCCGCGCCGTCTAAGTGGCGAAAACCCACGGGCACTTCGGTGCCCCGGATCCGCGGTCTGCTGGAGGCGAGCCATCGCGGCCAGGGCGACCCTCCCAACCTCCGCCCGCTGCCGCCGCCACCCCGGCAACTAACTGGAAAGGACCCCGACCCTGTCCCGAGGGCCCCATCCCCGACTCCGCCGCCCTTGGAGCCGCGGAAGCCGCCACTACCGACACCTTCCGACCCGCAGCCCCCGGAACGCAGAAGCACTCCTGCTCTGGCCACGTCCGCCGCAACCCCTACAGAAAGCCAGGCCAGGCACGGCAGCGAGGGCCAGACGGCCAGCAGAGCCCGCAGAGGGGCACCTCCCCAAGCAGACGAGGGCGAAATGGCCCGGCCTGTGGCCTCCGAGCCCGGCCTGAGCCTGTTGTGTAAAGTCACCTTCAAGTCGGGGCCCCAGCTGTCCCCCGCGGCAGCGTCGAGTTCCTTAGCGGCCAAAGCCTCTCTCGGGGGCGGCGGCGGAGGACTCTTCTCCGCCGCCTCGGGCGCCATCTCCTACGCTGAGGTCCTGAAGCAGGGACCCCTGGCTCCTGGGGCCTCTCGCCCCTCGGGAGAGGTCCCTCGGGGAACTCATGAAGCAGAGGGCGGTGATGGAGACGGCGAGGGGTGTTCTGGACCACCCTCGGCGCCTGCGTCCCACGCCCGGACCCTTACTCCTCCATCCTACACCACCTTTGCAGGCTCGAAGCCCAAATTTGACTGGGTGAGCCCCCCTGATGGCCCTGAACGCCAATTTCGCTTCAGTGGAGCTGGCGGAGGCGTCGGGGCGCGCCGACGGCGCGCAGTCGCGCCCTCAGGGGCCAGGGGCTCCCCGCAGCCTCCGCCAGGGCAGATGCATCCAGCTCCCAGGCCCCGGAGGCCCGCACCCACCTTGCTGGCGCCGCCTGTGTTCATCTTCCCGGCGCCCACCAATGGCGAGACTGTGCGCCCCGGGCCTCCCAGCCCGCAGGAGTTGCTGCCGCCGCCGCCGCCGGCGACGCCGCCGCCGCCCACGCCACCGCCCACGCCGCCTCCCGCGCCGCAGCCGCCAGTACTCCAGCCAACGCGGCTGCCCGTGGCGCTCCCGCCCACCCCAAGCCCTGGCCACTTGGAGTCGGCCGTGGCTCCCGCCCCGGCTCCCGCTCTGCCTCTCGCCTTGGCCGCTGACCAGGCCCCAGGCCCGGCCTCACCCCCGGCTCCAGCTCCCACCGTGGCTGAGCCATCGCCACCTGCGCCCGTGCCCGTCAAGGTCCGCACGCGCCGGAACAGGGGTCCTCGCGCAGCCCGGGCCGCTCCGCGTGAGGATGGCACGCCTGGAGATGGTCCTCGCGAATGTACTGCAACTACTGTGACTGACAGCGGTGGTGGAGGGGGTGGTGGCAGCGGGGCTCCTCCAGCGGGGACGGTTAACTCGGGCGCCGCGCGCCACTGGCCACCCTTCCAGGTGCTTAACTCTTGTCCCTTCAAGTGTTACTGCCGCCACCAGCCACGCCATCGCCGCCTGCCACGCAACGTGTCTGCCTGGTGAGGGGAGGTCGGGGAGTAGGGAGGGGAGTTATACCCTTCCAAGTCCTGAACCCGACTTTCCTGGAGTGCCCCATTCAACCCTTTGGCATCCTGACCCCAGCTGACCCTAGACCCTCCCCTTGGCTGCATCTCAAACCCAGCTGAGCTCCAACCCTTCAGAACCAAGAGGAGCCTTGATATCATGCTGATCCCTGACAGAGAACATCTTGGCTCCGCTCCTTAGTATCCAGACCTCCAACGTGACCCTTGGCCCTCTTATTACTCTCTGGAGCCATCAGGGAGGGAAAACTGGTCCCAGCTGGCCTGACCCTATTCACTACCTTGACCCTCTCCCTGGTGACATCAAGGACCACATCCCAGGCTCTTCAGGGATGGGGTGGGAGATGATGGTCTTCTGGAACCAAACGGGTATAAATGCAGGCCTCCAAAGGAAACCCCAGGCCTAGGCCCCCAGACTCCTTACCCCCCTCCAGCCTTTGGCACCTTCTCCCGACGGACCCAAGACTTTGACCGCCAGAGGGCACTGATATCCCAGTCCTTGTGCTGCAGAGGTTACTCCTGATTCCGCAGATTCAGGGGAGACACTGCATCCTCCGGTTACCTCTCCTTCACCCCTAAATCTCAGGATCTGGTCATCAGGGTCTGTCTGACCCTGGCTCCTGAGGAACCTGAATAACTGGGAGACCCTCTCCCCTGGTACCTCTGGGGCTCAGCTGGGACCTGAAGGGGGAGTTGGGAGAATTACTATCACCAACCCTCAGCCCCCTTTCCTACTAAGTTTAAGTGGATACAGCCCGGCCCTAAACTACCTTTGGGATATTCAGACATGGTCCCTTATACAGATGGAGAAAGTGGAGCCAGAAGGGGTAAGGGCCTGCCACATAGCCAGGTCCTGAAGATTCTACCTTCTCCCTAGGCTGAGCACACCCACCAACCACCTGAGTGAGCCACCCTGGGTCACCACCATCAAGCTGGCCGGCTCCCTGGTAGCTGGGCTGGAGCACTACGACTTGCAGGCTACCCATTCCAACTGAGTGCAGTCTGCTCAATGCCCTCTGCCTTCCCCTCCTTGACAATAAAATAACCATCCAGATGCCTAGATGCCTGTCAGTCACTGGCTAAGTGTTGAAGGGGTGGGGCGGGGCAGAGGTCTCCATGAAAGCACCACATCCTGGCAAGAGGAGGCTGGACCCAGACTAGCAATAAGGGAGGTTCCATTCATCCAGCATGTGGACTGATGCACCCAGGGGTGAGATGTTCTCATTCCCCTTAATACCATCAGCCCCATTTCCAAGCCGATCTGGTGCCAAGCTCAGGGGTTCAGTGCAAACCATTCTGCAAAGCAGGA